TTTTGTTTCCATGTTTGGAAGAAGGCACATTAATTACGAAATTGCTAAGTTATGTATTTTTAAAAAAAAAATAAAATTGCCATTAAGCCCATAGCTGGCTAATATTTTACACAAATCTTTTTCATACAATAATTTATAAAAATTTTATATATTTTTAGTCATTTTAATTTATATTTTATAGTTTTTAATAATAAAATAGAAAAAAAAAATCCTACAATTAAAACCACAACAAAAGCATACCGAGGTGAGGGCCATTCCTGGAGTTCACATCCCTTCGTATTTGGGCTTTTTTATCTCCAATATTTGGGGCCTTTTTATAACATTTTGGGCCCAACAGTGAGTGGGGTTGTCTGTAGCCCCGTGGTCTGTAGTCACTGCCTCAGACTGTGCTGAAAAAAAAAATATGCCTTTTTTTTTTTTTTTTTGTCAATTCAGACATAAACTATTTGTTTTGGCAATGAAGCCCTCATATTTAAGGCCAAAGTTAACAAGGTAATGATATAGCCACCCAAAAAAAAAAGGTAATATGAAAAGATATATTGAATGTCATCTCTTACTTAAGGTTCTGCCCAGGCAGACTTCATAACCTACTTTGAATTTGATAATGAAAACACTTGGTAAGAAAAAGATCACTTTATTTGTATAATCCACCGAACACAATGACGTTATCATTTTACCCAACACTACCACATTAGTTTTCATGTAGACTAAAGAAGTTGATTAAATATGGCATTTATGACATTTATGTGACTTTTTCTATTAAATTTAATGATAATTAGATATATTGAATCGATATTGTATATTAATTTAATTGAGTTTTTTTTTTATTATCTTAAATTATATAATAAGAAATAATTTTTTCTTATCTTTTTAATTTATTCTACTCACATAACACGTGATTCGAATTTAAAATCTTTTACTTTTATTAAAAAAAATTATCACTAAATTACTTAAATTATTAGTGATTTAATTGAGTTAAAATAAATTTTGAAAGCTAGATTAAGAAAAAACTGATTGAAGGACTAATCAGGAAATTATTTTTTTTAAAAAAATAAAAATAGATTTGTGTAACTTATATTTTAAGAATATAAGTTAAGAATGTATTAAATATAATTTTTTATTATAAATTTATATTAAAAAATAAAAATAAAAATTTATTAATTTATTAATTATTTAATTAAATTTACTCATTTAATATTAATATTAAAATTAATATAAATTTTTATATTATATATATTTATAAAATAATTATTTTTAACATGTATAATATAAAAACTCATAATAAAATCCTGGGGAGCAAAAGACCGCGATACATATCACGTGACTTGCCCGCACGTGAGAAAGAGTCTAAACGTAATACGTCGTGTCCTCTTCTTCTGTTCCTACAATTTCCCGAACCAGAGAAGCCCCTTAAACCGCCATTAAAATTTTCATCGACACAGCGAAAAACAACTTACCCTTAATCTGAACTCAAGCTGTTGAATTTGTTGCACCCAGAAAAGGAAAAAAAGAAAAGATGAGATCATCGAGAAGAGGAGCTGCAGAGAATAAAAGAGTAATAAGTGGGCATACACATACTCTCCATCAACGCCTCTACCATGCTCTTAGTCTAGGCACCAGGTAACCTATATTTCTTACTGCTTTTGGAGATCTTTTTGTTGAATTTGCTGGATTTTGAGAAACCCCATGAATATTTGTGTTTAATTGATCAGTTTCTGGGTGTAAAAGTTTGCAATTACTGAATTTGAGGCAAAAGTGGTGTTTGGAATAACGATTCAAATGCAGCTGATAGCTGATGGTTGATATCCAACTGTTGATAATCATTGTTGTTTGTAATTTATAGTATTTAATCTGTTCAATTATAGTTAACAGCTGGCTGTTTGCGAAATGTCAAACCAAACACCCTTGAAGTTTGAATCTTGAACTTGGATGTTTCATGCTTGTGTTGTAATCAATCATTTGTAGTGAATGAATATGATAAAGGTCCTAAGTTTGGTAATGGGTATCGGCAGATTCTCTGATAATGGAGATAAGAGATGGCAATGCTCAGATATGGAGATACAGAGGCATGTGGTTCGCTCGATTGTTGCATTTCTTGACTCTATTTCTGGAGATACATCAAACCAGCCACTGGTGAAGGTAAGCAATTTTGACTTTTGGCTTTTCTGTAGCAAACAAAGATAGTGGCAGTTGAAGGCTGTTATGTGCTAGTCCAGGAGTTTAACTTTATGGTTTTACTTACTGTAACTATAATTCTTGATACCATATTTCCATGATCTTCTGTTTCATATGTTTTATCAGATAAGAGTTTTTGAGATGTTGGGCATATTGTGGGTTAGAGTAGCATGTGTAATTTTATTACAATTGAAGAGGATTTTTATGTCATGCTAAAATTTTTATGCTGATTAAAATAAATTTACAGAAGTTTATCGTTTTACAGTCTACGGTAGATATCTCATTTAGATGGGGAATTTTTTTTTTCTTTATGTTCATTTTAAAGCTTGGGTGTCAGCAAATTATAAATGTCGTTCAAGTAATCTACTTATCCATACATTATTTCCAGAGTTGCTTCTGGGAAATAGTTATTTTGTTGCATTAATTAAGGTGTTGAGTTCTTGTTCACTAGACTTTTTGGTTTGCGATGTGATGTTTCATGTATATGATTGATCACATTTTTCTAAACTCACCTTTCTGTATTTTGCAATCATATCTTCCTTTCCACTTCCAGGATTCAGTAGCTGATATTGTTGGAGCATTGGTCTTGGTACTACAATGTAAAAGGGTAAATATAGCTAGCCTTGCAGCAGATGCAGTCATCAAGTTGGTTGGCATTAACTGCTCATCATTACAATTATATGTATCAGATCTTGTTCATCCATTGTCATCTTTGTTAAGTTCTCGTGAGTTAGAACTTGCTACTTCATCTGCCACTGCTTTGAACATGGTCCTCTCAGATCTCAGTTTCAAGAAGGAGAAAGACGTTTTTGAGATACTTAAAGAAACAAAGGCGGTAGTTAATGTTGTCTCTAATATAAAGGATTTTCATTGGGACACTCATCCAATGGACCATTTTCAAGAGATGGCTTCTCTTTTGAGTGTCATATTAATTCGGTGGCCCCCATCTCGCTATTCTGTTTGGAGTGATGCTACAATGATGGATGTATTACAAACATTCTTCTTAAAGCCTGATTTCCCTGCTAAAGTTGTGGTTTTGAAGTTGTATTCTTCACTAGGTATTGATCTATATGTGTTTATAATTCTCCTTTTTATTTTTGAAGTTCTATTTTCTAGCCTATGTCCCTTGATAAATGACTTTCTGTTATTTCTCTATGCAAGCTCTATGTAATTATGGGGCCAAGAAACTTATAGAGAATGGAGAAAGCATTTTACGAATGATGGTTCACTGCATGGGCAGCTCAGAGCCTCTTTCAGTTAGAATAGAGGGATTTAGACTCGCCCAGTGTTTAGCGGTAATAGTTGTAGTTCATTATTTTGCATGGTTCTCATTATATTTGTTTGCATATTTTTTTCATCATTATAAGTTTTGTACATTCATTGTTCAGGCAGATGAAAACGGATGCTTAAAAATGATAAGCTTTTGTGGTGAGCCTCTAGCTACAGCCATTGTCAATGCAATGAAATGTCAGGGCTTGCACATGAAAAGATTATTTGTCTCAGAGAGGTCTACAGAGGGAAAACGTACAAATGATCAGATGTCCCTGCTACTTGAGGCATGTCGATTGGCTCTAATAACCCGTTGGGCAGGAAAGCATCACAGCTTCTTTTGGGAGCAGCAGATTCACAATGTCCTCCTTGATCTTCTTCTTGAAAATTTTAAAAATCAATCACTAGAACATTCTTTGCCTGTTGAAGAACAGATAACAATTGCCCAGGATGGCCTTAATTCAAATTTTCTTCTTGTATTAAGGCCATACATTTGGGAGATCCTTGGATGTCTTGCTGTGCACTGTGAGGAGGATTTCAAACCCAACATGCATGGAAATGAACTCTGTTTTAGCATCCTTATCACATGTGCATGGTAGTCCCATCATCACAAATTCTTTTTTGATTTATCAAGTTATTGTATCCTTCTAGGGTTTAGTTTCATTGCTGATCTTCTTTGATAGCTTGGCTTTTGCAGAAGCAATTCGCAAAGGGCACCACATATGTGAAAACAATAATGTGGATGCCTTCAGAAGTGAATCAGCTTCAAGAATGGTGTTTCTGATGATGTATTCTCCTTGCAAGTATATTTCTTCAAAGGTCAGGTTCATCCTTGCCAAAGTCCTAAAGCCATTTGGAAAAGAGTATCTAGACCGCTTGGTCCATTCCCTAAATTATATACCATCTGGGGATAATTTTGGATTGTCAAATAATGTTAATACTTTCATTAAGTTGGTTGGTTTGGCATGCTATTCAGGCTTGTCTGAATATCAAAATAAGGTTGCTGAAATTGATGGAATTAAGACATTGTTTATTTTTACGAGGTGGTGCCTAAGCAATCATGTCCATATAGGAAGACCAAGCTCTGCACCTCATTTGCAGAATGCATTTCGCGAGAGGGCATGCTGCTGGGCACCTACAGAAGAATGGGAAGGGAAAGACACTCTTTTGCTTTGTAGTTTGTGTGGTTTATCAGAGTTGGTATTCCATGCTGGTGATATAAATCGCACTGAACCTCAAGTCGTTAAGATACTCCAGGATGTCTTAATTAACATTTCTGCTCCTGGACCAAGATGGTTAGCTGCACACATTCTAAGTTCTTTTGGATTTTATGGTTTCCCAAATAAAATTGGTAAAGCCATTGGGAAAGCACTTAAAGAGACAGAACATGCAGATATGCAGTTCCTTTTCACTAATGGTGCATCATTGACAGTTCACAGAGTTATTCTTGCAGTTCGATGTCCATCTCTGCTACCTCCCAAGCAATTACCTCGTCACGAGAATGATATTGATTATCATTCGGAAAGATATGATCCAGAGAACCCTAGTTCAATGTTTCTGAAAGAAGTCCGTTTGTCTGCCCATGTTAATGAGGAGGCACTACTGAAGTTGTTGGAATTTGTTTATTTGGGTTTTTTTGAAGCTGGAGAAGAGCTTGAGAAGAAGCTGAAAGCTATTGCTAAATGTTGTAACTTGCAACCTCTGATACAAATATTTTCTAGAAAGAGACCTAAGTGGGGCACTCCTATTCCTAGCTCTGATCTTACTCCTGCTCTTGGTCCGGTTGGGCATCATTTTTCGTATGGTTCACTCTTGCTTTATTTATGTATGGCTATCTGAAGTTGCATTAGTTAGTATGATTGCATTTGGGGGGTTTGATTGTGGGAGGTATTCTAAAAGTATCTCACATGTAAATGAAGTTTCAAATAAGATAATTAGCACCAAAATCACATTTATTGGAAGATGATTGCTGCACCAGCAGCCTTTTTTATAAAAAGGAATAAAAATTGTTGGCATGATTTGTATTTTTTGTATTTTCTAATTAGGAGGGTCACTTTGATTAGCATTCGCCATTCATTTATTTAGTTCCCTCTAACCTTATTATATAGTTTAACAACTTTTCTGTTTCAGGGACATAATACTGGAAGCCGAAGAAACTGAAGTGATGAATTGGAAATGCAATTTTTGCTCTCTTTTGGTGCCACATGTGCACGCTCACAAAGTTATATTGTGGTCAAGTTGTGATTATCTCCGGGCCATGTTTCAATCAGGAATGCAGGAGAGGTACATAGCTACAATCTTTATATTTTGTAGATGTTCTACTTCATTTTGGTTGATGTTCATCCAAAAAAATAAAGAATTTAAATATTTCATTGGTGGATAATGTGGCATTGACACATCATTAATGATGAAAGCAATAGTTTGTAATTGGCGCTAAGGGTTCTAACTGCTATCCTATCATCTGGATTTTCAAATGCTTTTAGAATCACAAATGTGCAATGCCTCCAGTCTGAAAAATATAGTATATACTTTATAGGCTTCACTGCAAGCTTAAGCAAAACTTTACTTGCAGATTATTATGATGTTTTACATTTTTCTGTTTTAATTTGCATGGCTGTAACATTCTTCTATCTTTTTCAATTTTATTTTTTAGTTTGCATTCACTGATAGTTGCAAAGCTTAAATGCACTTGATTGGAAATTCTATTGTAAGTCTTTTTTTTTTTTTTTTAAATTCTATTGTAAGTCTTTTTTTTTTTTTGAATCATTTATTTTTTGTGTTTTATAATTTGGCATTCTATTTGCAAGCCTAAGTTTTTTTTTTTTTTTTTTTTTTTTTTTTTTAAATAATATTAACTAATATTAAAGACACCATTTATGTGGTCTATAGTATCCCATATTCTTTCTAAGTTTTGATGATCAGAAAGAAATTCTTTTTTTAGTGGATGCTTGTGTTCGTATTTAGACCATTTACAAGCTTGTTATAACATTTTAAATGATTGATATTTTATACTTGTTGGTGCTTTCTTCTTATTCAATCAGATGGTTTTCTTGTAATTAAGATCATATTTTTTCCCTTCAGATCACGTAAATTAACTCTACTATATTTAGGATCAATTCTTCCCAACTCATCTTTGGAGATAATATATGTATTTTTTTTCTTTCAAATTCAGTTAGTGCCTGTTGTTTACTTTTCAGTCTCTGATTTTATCTTCTGTTGATTTATCTATTTATATATATATATTTTTTTTATTTTTAAATGTGCTTTCAGCCATTCACAGACCATAAAGGTTCCTATCAATTGGGAAGCTTTGATGAAACTAGTGCACTGGTTCTACAGCTATGATCTGCCAAATCCTCCCTCTGGATGTTTATGGGACAATATGAGTGCGGAAGAACGGCTACATGAACTTCAATCTTACGTGGAGCTTTACTGGCTTGCTGAGTTCTGGATTTTGGAAGACATTTGTGACACATGCTACAGAGTAATTGTATCCTGCTTGGCTGCTGACAGACAATTGTCTGTGAAAATTATTCAAATTGCTGCTGGTTTATCTCTGTGGAAGCTAGCTGAGGTTGCAGCAGATTACATGGCCCCCTTATACAATAGATTGCGTGATTCTGGCATTCTTGAGGGGATGGATGAAGTGCTTATTGATTTGGTCCGTGCTGCTTCTGTTAGGCTCTCTCAAGAACATGGTCATTCTGTTGGTGAAAAATTATCTTCCTCTGGTCTGTTGACGTGGTAGATGATGCTGGAAACAAAGCTTAAAGGGATCTCTTTTCACTGTCCCAACTGTCAGCTATGCATATTCCATGGAGCACATATCTAGAGTTGTGATGGGCTTCTTCTAAATAGGCTAAAATACATCCTGACCATTGTGGTTGGTTGGTTAAGAAAACACATGAATACGGTAAAAATTTGCATGCAAAACATAGGTGGAAATCACATTCCCCCATATCATGCATGTATGCTTCCCAAGTTTTCTAATGTTCATTGCTTAGTAGGATGTTTTAGTGTTAAGACTTAAGAGGACCTTATGTTAGTCGAAAAGATGTTGGCAGTGTCATGCATCTATGCATGTAGCCTGAGAATGGGTGATTTACTGCAGAAAGTCAGGAAAAATTGCAGAAAAGAAGGCAAGGCAAGAGAAAAGGTACTTTTGGTACATTGAATTGAATAGCTCTGTTTCTCTTTCTTTTACATCGCTTAGAGAAGTTTATAACATATTCCTTTCTTTTTCAGCAGCTGCTACCACCTCTTTTGGCTTCTTTGAGGATGAGCTCCAAGAGCCTTTCATACATTGCAATTGAAGACTCGAGCATGTCAATGGCTCTGCTCCTGTCTCTTTCTGCCAACTTCAAGACATCTTCCAAGTTTACCGTCTCCTTCAGTGATCTGCTTAGCTCTTCTACAGAAAATCTACCATATTCTTCTCCAAAAACATTGTCATCTCCTTTTCTCATTTTTGTGTCATTAACCCCCTGAGTGCCCAAACCAGTGTTAGCCACCACCAAATGACTTATGCTGCCCATTTCAATGTTGGCTAGACTAAGAATTTCCTGTCCTGTCTCAGTGTCCCATATGCTAACATTCCCATCTTCTGCAGCAGATACTAAGGTCAGTCCTCCATTCACCATCACCAGACCCACCACCATGCTGTTATGTTTTCGAGGCCATCTGATTAATTCTGGTGATTGGTTCATATCCTTCTGGCTTCTAACCTTAAATGATTCTTTATAGATTGAGCCATCTGAGCCTGCAGCATATAGTTCTGTGTGTGTTTGATTAACTGCAACACCCATGATTGCACAAGGGAATCTCACTGTTCTGATCAGGTATTCTCTATCTGCTACTCTCCAGAATCTGCATGTGCAGTCTAAAGAGGTTGTTATTATTGTATTACTGCACAGCCCCACAGAAGAAGCTATTGCTGTCACTGACCCATCATGGGCAAGAAATCTCTGCACCATTAACCTGGTTGGATTCTGCTCATTTTGTGCCTCCACGAGTTGGAAGATTGGAACAAAAGCAATGGTTCCATCATCTCCACCTGAAATCAGAAGCGAGCCATCTTCGTTTACTCTGAGGCAAGAGACAGGCTTGTTATGTGCAGAATATGATTGGAGTAATTCCCCCGAAGGGATTAGGAGTGTATAGATTTTCCCTGAGAGGCCACCAGCAAATAAGTACAATCCATCTGGACTGGCCACTAATGGAGCAACAGGTTCAGGCAATGGGAGGTTGTGTAAGGCTGTCAACGACCACCAATTGTAGAGGTGAATGGAACCTGAACCTGTTTCCGGAGATACATGAGATGCAGCGATGAATGAGTTCCCAATAAGGGTGAGGCCATTGCGTGGTGACCGGCTGGAGGAGAAGCGAGCTAGAACGGCACCGGAGGCAGCATCATAGGCTGTGATGGGGCCGTCAGGGGAGCTGGTGAGGACAATCTGAGGTGGAGAAGAGGACATTATTTTCTGGTAAGAGTAGAAGACGTTCAGGAACCTGGAAGGAATGAAAAATGTTTCTTTTGTGTTGTGTGGTGTTGTTATTTGAGGGAATTCTGGGTCCAGGGCGTTGAAATCAAGGTGCCATTTCGTTCATCAAATTTGACCGCATTTTATTAATGATTTAAAGTAATTTCATTGCCAGAATGCCAGGAAAGCCTACTTTTTCACATCTCTCCAGTAAAGCCTTGAAACTTTTTCCTTTTTTTTTTTTTCTTACTTTTTTTGAGATATAACCCCATCAAAGACTTGTAATCTGGGTTGGATTTAAGAATTTTTTTAGAAAGGGTAAAAAAGAAAAAGAAAAAAGAAAAAGAGAACTCGAATTTACAAACATAAAAATCAAGATGTTCAGCTACTCTTGATGTATCAAAAATACACACCAAAAATTTATTTTCTTCCATCTCGTATTGAACCTTGTTAACTAGGTGATAAGAAAGAACAACTACTTTCTTGTGCCATCCATCAAATATCAAAATCCTGTCAAGTGAGAAAACCTTCATGTGAATCAAGCTAACTTTATGAGGTCTTGAAAGTCGAAACTAATTTTTGAAAGGTGGATCAGAAACTATACAACGAATCATCTCCCGGATTAGCTTTCAAATACACTCACCAACAATTATAGGTTGTTCACAAGTTAGACAGCATTTTGAGAAGAGCAGCACAGGCTATATTTGCAGATTACTAATCAGCGATTCAGGGTGCTTCAGCCGTCTCCTTTTATCGGATTCAAGGCTTTTCCTGTACTAGTGTTGATTTATATGTCAACTGAGGCATGGGAGAAGATGTCCAGTGACCGTTGGTGAACCTACATGAGCAAATTTTGGAGAAAAACTTGCTGCATTAAGATAGCTAAAATGCCACCCATGGTTATGTTGATCACATTAACTGCATCGTTGTTGAGCTGCAAATGGCATGGAGAAATTTTTTATCAGATAAAAATAGTCGAGTGAGAGAACAAAGGATCTTAGAATAGAGGATGAAAGCATTAATTCCTACCAGAATGAGAAAATTAAACATCTTAGACATATCTTCACCTAGTCTCCCTCCCTCTCTCTCTAAAAAAGCTAAACTCTTGTGATCCTCTCAAGCAACACAGTTTTATACAATTGTATAATAATAATAATAATAATAATACTAATAACGCAAATTACCAAAATAATGCAAGCAATACAATGAAAAAGTGCCTACTTACCCATCTAAATCCATCCTTCTCCTGGAATACAGCGCCAATTATGCTTTCACCAAGATTAGCAATCTGGGAAGCTATTATGCATACCATAGCCTCAGGTGCATTTATCTATTTCAGAAAATAATTATGTAAATAAATAAACTAATTAGAAGAAATTAAGAAAAGCCCAAAGAAGACTCGGTATAACATAAATCCAATACATGGCATGCATCACTCACGTCTTTATAAAGTGAGTAAAAAAGAGCCTAGTAAATCTCAAATTCTCAATAAATCATATATTTATTTTAGAAGCATGCTTACAGAGGAGACATATTATCGATTTAAATGAGATAATTGGGTTAAGACCCTTTTTTTTTTTCAAAAAAAAAAAAGAAAAAGAAAGACAATCAACTGTGGTTCAGACATTAATAATATGAAGAATAGCACAATGTCATGTGTGGCATATAGAGACATGGATAAATCAATCATTCAAAGATCTGCTAAAGGCTGAATAATGACAATATCGTCAACTCAATTCCATACTAACAAGATTATAGAACTAAATTAAACAGAAAAATTGGATATGGCAGATTATCCCTAGTAAAAAAAAGGCAATGTTATTAAGTGGCATTAGTGTGAGTTAAATGACACTCTTAAGTATGAAACATCACTTATTGGGTCTACCACATAAAATTGCTTATTCCAATGCTAGTCAACTACAACATTATTAATTCCTTAATAACTCATTTCATACTTGTATGATTTGCAACAATAATGGACAGGCATACATGCTGATAAAATTAAAAAATCCAACATTATTCCAGGTCTTTCTATAAAGCGAAACTTTTAATGCAATATAATAACTGCTGCCACCATACTCCAAAATAAGAGGGAAGAGATTAATGCAATCAATACAAGAAATGCCCAGGAAAAAGAATGCTATAGAAATAGAATGAGATGATCAAGATAGCATAATACCTCACCCATAAGACAACCAATGAAGGCAAGAATGATTGACGCCAAAAGTCCAGCAACAGTTCCTTCAACACTTACAGCCCCTTCTGTTCCCCTTGGAACTACCTTAAATGTTGTAACCAGGTACCTGCAGACCATGTCTAAGATGTTTTAAATTTTATATGGCAACCATGAAAGTTTAACAGGAAAAAGGAAATGAAAAATAAGGATAAAAAACTGAAAAGAAAATAAAAAAAATGAGGCATTAAAGTAAAGCGTTCAAATAATATTTGAATTTAATAATTCTGTTTTGAGTTAAAAAAAAATCCAAAAATATCTCAAGGACTTAGTAAGGCCTTAATTCATTTAATGCTTAGAAATGAGCAAAAATGTGGGAGAAAAATGATTTAGCAGTATCAGGAAGAAAGAAAATTTAGAGGTCATAACCCACAAAATTGTTGTAGCGTTAAGTTCATTGCCCATCAATTAAAAAAAGCCAGCAGTAGAAATGAGAAGAATGCAACTAAATAAACAGAAAAAGAGTAAGATCTAAAACTCCTCTAATTTCCATACCAAAAAAAAAAAAAAAAAACCCCCCCACCCATTTTTAAAAAAAAAAAAAAAAAAAACTCCTCCAATTTCAATTTTACATTCTTTTATGAGCCACTAAAAGAAGGCACCAATAACACTGAGGTAAAGTACACAATATTTAACCAACATGCATTACTTAGTACTTACGTTGTCTTGCCAAATGCCTTTCCTATCTCACTTGAGACTGTATCACTCAACTTAGTACAAAAACTGGCCACAAACCCAAGACGCCAAAGTTGAGAAAATGCCGCTCCTCCTACTCCATATATTGTGAGAAAAGCACAAACACAACCAGCAGCACTAGAACCAATTACACTGCCTGGCCCACGTCTCCCTTTCCTCTTCTCAGCCACCCCTTGTGCCTCTTTCTGAGCCATTTTAACCTTGGTGACACCTGTGCCCTACAGATACAGAATTTTTAAGCAGAAGATCAAAATATATAAAAAAAGAGCAACTATATTACAAAATAAGATTAACTGGCTAACAAATTTCTCAAGTTTGATTAACAGGCCAATGGACAGAAGTCACAGAACAGAAGCTTGTCAATTGGCAATTAGCAGAAACTGTGATGCATAAATTCTTTCACCATTTTCAGTAACTGAGATTCACATCACAAGGTGACTCTGTACCATAGAATAGAACTCATGCTGTGCAAGATTCAAGTACCAAACACTTCGATTAAAAATGTAAGCTTTGCAATGCTAAATAATACCAAGACGTCAAAATCCATCAATCCCATTATTTCTTAGTCCAGAGATCCATCGGTGACAGAAATTTTTCTTCACAATTTTGAGTAACTGAGATTTAGTATATCATAAAATGACACTATACCATGGAACTCCTCCAACTATCAAATTCCAATACCAAATACTTGATTTAAAAATTTACCCTTTTTAATGCCAAATGCTTCAGACACTAAAATTCCATTTCAAAAAATTCATTGATCCCATTATCTTTCACTCCAAAAAGCTCAAATCCCACAAATCAATACTTGATCTATGCATATATATGTAAGTTTATACTCACAATGACAAAGTACGAAGCAACAAGAAGGAACCCGGACGGCCCAAAAGCGCGCCAAGTGAGAGTACCCAACAAGAAGGCAGCAGAAATTCCGGATAGAGACAATCCAGAGACCAGAATAGGAGATCCCAAAACGAAGATGATGAGGTTGCTGAGCAACGCTGACTGCCACGTTGGTGGCGTCAATTGAAACAGGGTCATCATCCCCGATATCGCGCCATCCATCGAGATAGCATTGGAACTAAGCAACGACATTCTAGAATCGGGTTTTCTAGGGTTAAGGTTCAGTAGAATTGGGGGTCTTCTGGGTAAAGAACGTGAGAAGTGAGGAGGAGGAAATAGAGTAGGCCGGATAGGAAGAAAAGTTGAAAATGCCATTTTTATTGTGCACGTTAGCGGAATTGAGTGCCGGCGAAGGAATTAGAAAGCCAGACGGCGTGGAAACCGGAGCTCCGAGTCCCATTCGGTTCGGTTTTTCGTCGAGTCCATTGGGTTCTGATTTTTTATTTTTTTCGTTTATAATTTAAGAGATTCATTACTAACCTAAGATTATATAGAAATCTCAATGAAGTTTGCTCTAAATATAAGAAAGCTAGAAAATATATATATATATATATATATAAAAGAAAGCTAGGCCGACTTGAAGTTATATTTCTCGATTCGAGGGTTGGGGTTCGATTTTTCCTATTTTATATTTGTAACCTTATTAAAAATATATATATATATAAGAAAGCTAGGCTAAATCTAAAAAACTAATAATAAATAATTAAATACATAGACATTAATTACTAAAAATTATATAAATAATTACTATAAGAGAACAAACTACAATAAAATTATCTAATTATGTGTCTAAATCATTAAAAAAATCTCATACGATATTTAAGTTTTTGAAATAGAAATATTAGTTAGGGTCAAACCATGTCATTGAAACCCAAAGCAAGCACTCCAAATTCTGCAACCCGATTGAGCCCAACCATTCCTACATCTATGTTGTCTTGCTCCTTCACAACTCCTTCACGAACTTGCAAAACTTTAATAAAAATATATCAAGAGAGAGTTGAGTTAGAGATATGGAAAGGAAAACTCACATAAAGAAAAAGAGAATCTCACGTTTATTCATATTCCTTAATTACAAAGAGAGATAGAGGTAATGATAAGTGATAAAAAAAAAGTGATGTTATAACGATAATTTGTTTGTATCATTTTTTTATATAATTTTTATATGTTATAAAATGAATAAATATATTTAATATGATGGGTTTCACAAAAATTAAAAAAATCAATTATTTAAATAATACGTTAAATTATACAAAAAAATAAAATAAAATAATTATACAAAAATTATTTCTTAAGTAAAAGAATAGCTAAAAAGGATGAAAGGGAGTTTAGATGAGAGGGAGAGATGGGCGACTTGGGATTTCTACATGAAGCCTGTCTCTTTTTTAAAAATTATTATTTTGTAATTTAATATAATTAAAATTATATAAATTGTATAATAATTATTTAAAATTTTAACTATTTAATACCCTTTTATTTCAGAAAACCAATTAAAATTTTTATAATCTTTTATACCATGCAATGTGAGATTAAATAAGTCTATGCATTTCATGCGTGGTCTACTGGTCTTCTTTAACTAAAAAAATTAATTACTACATGCAGATTAAAGAAAATTATGCATTTAAGAGTATTATTTAAAAAATGTGCACATAATTAATCCTCAGGTGAGGACCGGCGAAATGCAGAGGTGGACCGTTGGCCAAACTGTTATTGACTTCCTATCATTTTCGTTTTATTTATTTATTTATTTATTTTTTATATAAATATATATGAAAAGAGTAGAGCAAGAAATACTGAGACACAAAGGAAGCCATCTTATCCTTTGGAGTAACGGCGAAAGTCTGCGAGAAAACTAGTGGGTAGTGAAGAGAGAAAATGGCGATTCTCTGTGCTTCGACTTCAGTCGTCTTCTCCCCTTCTCCGTCGTCTTCACAAAGACTCTCATTTTCATTTCTGAAGAATACCCATTCCGGAAACAATGACTCTTCCCTTGGGTTTTCGGTGGCATCATGGAAATCTGTTGCACGGGCAACCTCCTCCTCTGTTAATTCGATGCGGGATTTTCGGCTTCGTTGCCAGAATTCCGACAAGCTAGCTCTTGTTCCAGACAATCAGGGATGGATGTTCGAGGACACCGAATTCGAAGGCCCAGTAAATTCTCCATCTTTCTACTTATCTACTAGACTCTACTATTATCTCTGTTGTACATTCTGATAAATCGGTATGGATAACTGACTGGATGAATGGTTTGTCTTTTATTGATGCCTTCCTTTTAGCTCTGTTTGATTGTTAAGAAAACTCGGGAAATGAAAGAAATTTATGATGTGCGTTATTTGGTTTTGGATTTTGGGAACTGTTTCAAGTGTGATTTTATTGATATATTCTGATTGCAAGTGGAATCAAATGGAAGCTTATGTCAATGATATTATGACTGTGCCGATAGTCTTGTATTTTTTTAGTGAAGTATTTTTGATTGTTCAGTTGCGTTTATGTGCAAATGCATTTGTGCTCTGACTAATTAAAGGTTGTATTTCTTTGTGGCTTGTCAATCATTACTTCAATCTATCCATGTCTCTCAAAATTTTCATTGTTACCTAAAATGTAATCCTCACAGGAACAAATACAAGTACAACTAAGTTTGATTCTACTTCTTTAATGAATGATATGTTCACACTAAGTACCCCCTATAATTTAAGATATAGCATACGGAGTAATGAAACTCTAATCTCAACCTTCAGCTTCTACTCACATGTGAAAAGCTGTATGTTCCAAAATTTCTTTTTTACCTTTCAACGATGAAATTTAAGTATTAATTCTCCAAGTTCAAATCTTTGACCTTCATTATATTGAGAATGCATTAGCAAGGCTTTCTAAAGTTTGTCAATTCTTGTACTTTGTTAATGTATATTATCAGTCTTGTATAGGAAAATACTTTGTCAGTTGTTTTCTTGAAAGTTTTTGATTGGATTTGTTTGTCTGTTCATTTAATTACTGTGATTATTTCCCTTCAAGCTATGCCATTGCTGAGAGTGCATAAGAAATGCCTTATTTGGGAGGTTGCAAATAATATTGGAAACTAGAAAATGGTTCCTGCTTTAAGTTTTGGTGATGTTTATGCTTCAGCAGCTCCACCTTTCCTCTTGCTTTTGTGATGTTGGTTTGTTTCTTCTGTTTGTAGGATATTTGGAATACAACATGGTATCCAAAAGCTAAAGATCACATTAATACAGAAAAAACATGGTATATTGTTGATGCAACAGACAAAATTCTAGGGAGACTAGCATCAACAATTGCTGTATATATTCGCGGAAAGAATCTGCCCACATACACTCCAAGTGTGGACATGGGAGCTTTTGTGATTGTGGTATGTGGTTATAGCAATTCGTCCATACCATAATTGTGTTAATACAGATTCAAATATAGTTTAGTAGATTAAGTTGCTTTTTAGAGTTGTAGCAAAGTGAACTGTAATAGATGTCCTAAAATGACTTGTGGCATAAAACAGTGTCTGTCTTGGGATTTTTTTTTGGTAAGCACACTGTTTGTCTTGGTTACTCCATTTTTATAATAAGTGATATGTTTATCTTTCTGCTTTATGTGCCTTGTACGATGAGCAACCTTCAGGTAACTTCAGCATTTTAACTTTGTTATTTATTCTAAGTAGGCATGCTTTTGACGACAGAGAGATCAATTTTTGACTAACATTGGTAGCTAGTCCTTTTCTTGAGAATCTTTACACATTTGGAGAGTTATTAATTAGTATGAGCTTTGAGAAGTCATAACTGAAGACTATTGATGAGAATTGGCTTTTTAAGACTATTTGCTTTCTCGTCCAGCACCAGCCCTGGAAAAAATAGTAAAGTTTTGCTGAGATTTTCAGTTTACAACTGCTTCTCTCTAAAATTTACTTTTGATAATTTCTCTACTTTTGGTAAATTTGTAAATAACTCTTTCTTGTATTAGACTTTGGTTCTGGCCCCTAAAATTTTAGTGATAATGTCATTATCTAGTGGATCAATTTTCTGTTGGTAGTAACTTATCCATGAGTTTACCTAATTTCTAAGGCTGTGGAGTTGGCTTTATTATACCTCAGCGGTTTTTAATTTATGCATGGAAACATTTACTTCTTTTACATTTATCATCTATTTAATTGATGTCCCTAAAATTTTGTCTGGAACCCCAAAGGTAAATGCTGAAAAAGTTGCTGTATCTGGAAAGAAGAGGACCCAAAAGCTGTACAGGAGGCATTCGGGAAGACCTGGTGGTATGAAAGTTGAAACATTTGACCAACTACAGAAGAGAATTCCTGAAAGAATTATTGAGCATGCTGTTCGTGGTATGCTTCCTAAAGGGAGTGTAAGTTCCAACTAACTTTATTTTATGCTTGTGAGAAAGAGATAGAGAAGGGAAAAAAACTACTGATTAGTTCGAAAGCTTCTCATGCTTAAGTGCCTTAAATGGGATTTTAACTCCTGAATAAATAATTATATTACCAGCCTATCAAAACAGTCACACAAAAATCCATACATTTCACACATACAATATCATCATTACTTAACTGTTGATTAACCCTAGAGGGACGGTTCACATTTCTACATTTGCTGCTACATTCCCTTTAACTATTGTGATGCTTTATTTCATTAAAATTTACATCTTGCAGCTTGGTAGAGCATTATTTAACCACCTAAAGGTTTACAAGGGTCCAGACCATCCACATGAAGCACAGAAACCTATTGAACTTCCCCTAAAAGACAAGAGGATACAGAAGCTGAAATAGATAAAGAGGTGTATTTTGCCTTGAGATACTGCCAGCAATACCTCTTTCTCCATTGGCAGCTAGTCTTTCAGGTTCGGTCCTTTGGATTATGGGTTTTAAGCTGACATCAATATGAACTATTGCATTGACCTTCTTCCCATGCTTCTGTTTTTTTTTTTTAAGATGTATTGGAAATGGATATTGCATCGCTCCAGCTGATGTTAAATTGTCTTGGAAATTCATTCTCTAGGTTTCAATTGTTTTAGCATACATTTTTTACTGAATCTTCATTTTATCTAGAGCTAGTTTGAGAATCTTTTGTTTTCAATGTTCAAAATAGAAACATTAAATTATTTAAAATTAACATTTGTTGGATTATATAATTTCTTTTCTCTTTCTCTCTCTCTCGCTCTCTCTCTCTCTCTCATTGATGCAAATTAGTTTTTTTGAGTTTATTCTAGCAAAGTGAAAATCAAAGAAAAAATATATATGAAGATCTAAATCAGTGTAGCATATAAGAGCTCATTCCAGGTATCTGGAGCACCGGCTAGGCACCAATGGCTGCAGTCGTTAAACTTTGGACCTCCACCTGTGTAGATGGAAGGATGGCCATCTTTCCTTAGCTGTGTTAACAACGTAATGTCAAGTAGATAAACAGGCTTGGCCATGGTTTTGATTACACTCTTCACAACGGCTTCCCCAGGATGACTAGGGCCAGGATACTTCGATCCCTTTACCGGCTCTGTTTGTCCTCTGCAATCCCCACCCCTCGGATCCTTCCACTCCTTTGAACTAAAGAAGATGCAATTGAAAAGTTTAGAACTATGGGTTAAAACTGACAATATCTTATACTACTAAATAACTTGCACTATGTTAAGGCATTCAACTTAAAATCAATTAGCAATAAGTGCAGAAATCCAAGTTTTGAGCACTTACTTTTGATGAACAGCTGCAACTCCTTGGTAAAAAACTGTAGTCTTTAAAGGATCAATGTGCTGATCGACCCATTTTGCCCAGGTTGTCAAGGCTATCCTTAATGCCTCCAAACGATCCATTTCCTTCACTGTCTTGTTTCCAACTTGAAAATAATCCCATCTGCAACACAAAACATCCATTTTTTGTGCTTAGTTACCGACTTCAACCTTAGATTTTGTAAAGAATGATACAGAAACTGAAATATCAAGTACGTTTGAATGCGTCCGGTGTGAGTCCACCAATGGTAGGTGTTAAAGATAAGCATGTCCGTTCCAAGCCACTGATCCCCTGTACTGATTGAATCAAGTTTCAAGACTCTGCCAATCTTTTCAGTTACAACATCTACCAGGAAACCATTTTTCAACCACGAAACTGTTAGCCCATATTCCTAAAAAATCGAAAAGAAGCTCATTCATTAGGCATTTTCATATTTGCGACATTTAGTATATATCTAATAATGAACTGTATATTAAAATTATATATCTCTTCAATTTATTCCACATTCTTTTGAGTTTAGACTTTTAATCGTAGACTGTTGGGGAGGAATATTACAAATTTAGGACTAACCGGAAACGAGAATATTTTGAGTTGCCCTTTTGAGGAAATAGTGTACTGAGAATTTGGGAACCCTGAGTGTAGCATGCAAGTCAATGACACCCACATGTTGTTGCTTAGGGAATCCCCTACGAACAATATCTTCTTCCCCCTATATCTCTCCAAGAAGTCCTTGCCATCGAACCTAATTAGTCAAATCAAGAAACATAAATTAACAATATTTTTCAACATAAAAAATAGGTTAAATACCAGACTTTTTAATTAAATTTATTCTTAAACTTTAAAAAATATTAAAAAAATCTTCAAATTTCAATTTTTAAGAACAATTTAATTTTTTTATTCAAAAAAGTGACACATACTATTTAGTTTTAAAATGATAAAAGTTTTAATTTTAATTAAAAAATAAAAAATTAACTATACCTCTTTAATTAAAATTAAAATTTTTATTATCGCAAAACTATGTTATCCTAATAAACAAATTTTGACCTAGTTAGTATTTATTTTAGTTTTGGGGTGAGATATTTCTAATTTTTTGAGAAACATTTGATTTGGTGAAAATTATTGAACCAACAAAATTGGGTGCTTTAATACCATTGTGCAACTTTAAAATTTTGGTGCAACTAACCATCTAACTCGGGAGCCATTACTATACATCTGTATCATACAATGCAAGTTTCAAATTGGAACAAACAAAATACAATAAAATTCTCAAAAAAAAAAAAAATGGTGAAATCTATCACATAAAGTTTAGATATATTCAACAAAAGCTACAATTCATTTAAAAAAAAAACTTTATATAATTACCAAAGACTTTACCAAGTCAACTAGTTAATCATCACAGAAAGTATGATATATGGTATTTCGAGACATGAAAACAAAGAGAACAGGATATTAAGGAATAGCAATGGTGCAGTACCTGGGGAGTTCACAGGCAGTAGGTTTCCATCTATACTTGAGATAACCCTTATCAGGTCTGCCGTTTCCCTGACAATCGAATCCGCCTTTGATGAAGGGACAAACAGAATCATTATAAAGAGGGTAGGAATCATCGATTACCCAACTTCCTTCATAGAGATTGCAGCCTCGACGGCCTGAAACAGTGAAAAAAATAGAGAAAGAAAAAAGCAAAAAAGCAACCCAACCAGCAGCCATTGCTACACAACTTTCAGCCAAGAAGAAGATGGATGTGATTTCTGCTAAATACAAGGAATGAGCTTTTTGAGGGAATTTTTGAGAAAGAATTAAGGTCCTGTTGTCTTTATTAGGAAAGAAGCAGCGCGGCCAGTGCCAGTTCAGGACATAAATCTTGGCAGGAAGTTTCGATTTTATTGCATTAATTGCTGCCTTGTTGGAGCAATACGTAAATTTATACTACAATCTATAAGTATTTATTATTTTTTATATATATTTTTCTTGAGCATGTTTAATTTTAATTTATACATATTGATATTTATCATAAAAGAAAATAAAGAACGTGGTTTTCAAATCAACGCCTGCTTCTTATAAAACTGAAATTTCATTCATAAAAAATGAGGAATTAAATGCCTTGGATCCTGTTATCAGTGATTATGGCATGTATTAAGGAACTATGGTTAGCTCAAGAAAGGTAGTCAAGCCATGGTGGGCTAGTTCGAAATATCAAATATTTGGGATCAACTTATGCCTACCGGACTAATTTCCGTCTAAAGCCATATTGAACTGATGTTGGGAACTCCAACTCCTCTACTGATATACTGCACGGCCTAAATTACATGATTAATAATAGTAAAAGACTTGAGTAATGCAAGTAATTAACTAAATTATTGACAAAAAGATTCTTTTTAACCTACATGATTAAGATTTGAACTCTCATTCTCCCTTTTTTCTTTTTTTATTTTTCCATAAAAATTTCAACTAGTTGACCTATCTCATAAAATAATAACAATAATAATAATAAAATACTTCTATGTAAGAGTACATTTTAGGGTGAGACTGGACGGGATTTATTTTAATTAGGAACCTTCTTACTTATTATTGCATAAAAGGGTTACATGAAAGGGTAAAAAGGGTGAATTTGAGGGCCATTAAAACTCTAAAATATAGATTATGAATTTGAGTAATATATTATGTGGGTAAGATGAGTGATATGGGATGACAGAGGATTGTTTGTGAGGCTTAAATTTTTCTAAAAACTAAAAACAAGATTATGAATTTAATTTAAGTTGTATAAATATAAATAAAATAAAAATAAAATAAAATTTTAAAATGTGACAATAACATCATTCCACCCACCGTACATGGTTTAATTATGAGTTGGTTCCCACAAGAACATAGTTAAGACCAATTCATGTCAAACTTGAAACCAAAATTAGTCAATGATCTCAGAATTGCAAACCAACCCATGATCGCCATATACCTGTTCAACAAGAACCCAACACCCAAATTGAGTCAACTAGGTCCATTTCTATGGATTTTGACCAAAGCCTAGTCTGTAGATGCATGACACATGAACTATCTAGATCGTGCCACTCAAACCTTAGTCCAAGGCTCTTTGATCATAAATACCTCACAGCTACTTCCTTATAAAGGTATTCAATCCATTCTCCCTACAATTAATTGAATTGGGAGCTTCTCTTATATATTGTTAATTTAATTATCAAAGTTTCTACCCTAATATCCTACCTTAGGTTTGTCTTGCAAAACACATGGACATGGTCAAAGAAACAACCAGTCACAAGTTAAAGTGTGAGGAACCAGAACAAGAGTCAAGACCAAGCCATAAATCTAGAATCAATTCCAGATTTAGAGAACAAAATTCATTCAAAGAAAAGGCTAGATTTGCACCCTTTTTATATCCATTGCACTTTAGTAGACTAAATAATGCAATTTTGAATGTTTTTAATTCAAAATTATTTGGTATGATGAATTAAAAGTTTGTTTGGTTTGAGGGAATAAGAAGGCAGAAAAGATTTTTTTTTTTTTTTGTCCAATCAAATTAAGAAATCAACCCAACAAATTTAAATGAAACCAAAGGAGAAAAATTAACAAAGCTATATAATCTTCTAGCTATTTTATTTCCTCAGTCATAATTCGATAGAAATCAAATACAATTTACTCCTATAAATCAAGAAATAATAAGATTGTAAAGAATTTCATTCCAAGTATCAGGAAGCCCTGGAAGGCACCAATGGAGGCAATCCACCCCGCCTGTATTTCCACCTGGGTTATACTTTGAAGGATGCCCGTCTTTGCGAAACAGTGACATGTATGTTGTATCAAAAACTTTAACCAAATTGCTAACCGTACTTAATACCTTCTTTTGTACACCCAACTCCGGTGGTATGCCTCCGGGATATACGGTTCCCAGCACCGGTTGTGTCTGTCCTATACATTTATCTGCCTTAGGCTCGTTCCACATGCTGCCGCTGAAAAGTTGAAAATCCAAATTTCAGACCAAAATGGGAGAATATATCGTTGTTTTGTATTAAAGGCATTGTAGTCATTTTTAATTTGAATTGACATTTTTTTTTGGTCAGTCCAAACTTAAAAACAGTATTCTCATGTCACAAAACAAACAATTCTATAAAAGATTGTAGTGAAGTACTTGTAATGAGTTGGAGAAGCTCCTTGGAAAAATACGGTTGTTTTTTGGGGATTAATGTTGGCCTTCACCCATCGTGCCCATGTTGTAAGGGCAGTCTCTAGAGCAACAAAACGATTCATATCCTTTACATACTTGCCTCCAACTTCTATATAATCCCATCTGAAAATTCACAAACACTTCCATTAATTAATTAAGAAGAAGAAATATGGACCCTCCTAAGTCCTAATGATAGAGGCTTAGAGTTGCATACGTCTTGCGGTTCCACCAATGCCATGAATTAAAGACAAGCACATCAATCCCTAGCCATGATTTGCCATCTTGTATGGAGTCGAGTCTCAAAACTTGACCAACTTGTTCTTTCATAAGATCTACCAAATACACGTTTTGATCGCGCATCACCTTAACCTCATACTCCTACAATTTCATTAATAATCACCAAGGATTAAACACGAGAAGACAAGAATTTGATGTTGAAACCAGTTTGAAGTCAAAAGCAAATTTTAAAAAATTTGTGTTTAACCCAACTTTTCAGCTAATAGAGAAACTTTTCGATAATTGAGTCTAACAATATTTAAATCTTAATGAAAGTTACTAAATACCGGTATCTCAAATATAATGATATGTCCTCTTGAAGTCTGTCTGTACGTGGCGTTAGGTACTGCAGAATGAATCATACATATGAAGGATTCATACTGGTCTCGGCTGATAGAATCTCCCACGAACATGATGCTCTTGCCTCGGAACTTTTCCAAGAAATTCAGACCATTAAACCTATAATTAAACAAATTAACATAGTCATATATATTCATATTATTTAAAATCTTGGATGCAAAATAATAATTTTCAATCAGAGAAAAACTAATCAAGCAAACTAATTGATTTCATTGGACTTATTTTTTTCACTATTATTGAAATCGGGTTCCTGTCTATAATGGAGGCACCCTCTATTATGATTTTACTCACTCTAACATATAATAAAATTTAAATTTAAAATTTTCTTATTATTGATTAACACTTTTTTGAATTTATATTATGTCTGATATACACCAAACAATGTGCATAGCTGTACAAATTAACTATTAATTTAGATTATAAATTAAAAAAAATCAATATAATATTAGAGTATCACTCAAAAAAAAAAAACTAATCTTGCACTCAACAAAATTCAAACTTTACCTGGGGAGTTCACAGGCAGTGGGCTTCCATCTGTAATTGAGGTAAGCCTTATCAGGCCTACCAAATTTCTGGCAATTGTAGATATCACTGGCGAACGGACAATTCGTATAAAGAGGGTAAGCATTGTCGACGACCCAACTCCCTTCAAAAAAATTGCAATTTTGTCCTTGCACTAACACCGCAAACAAAGACAGACAAAGAAGAAGATGTGTTGCACCCATGGAAAACGGAATATGAATTTAAATGGTTTAAATTACAAGAGTCAAACGGCCAAGCTAAAGATGGACAAAAGCAGAAGAGAGAATTAAAACTTTCGGTTTTGTTTCTTTGTAATTAACTAGGTTTTATACTCTTGATTTATAATGGAGAAAGGACATCATAATTTTGGTAGGTGTTCAAATTTGTATTATACGTGCACAGATTTTTGTTTCCATGTTTGGAAGAAGGCACATTAATTACGAAATTGCTAAGTTATGTATTTTTAAAAAAAAAATAAAATTGCCATTAAGCCCATAGCTGGCTAATATTTTACACAAATTATTTGCTTTTCACGGGATTGAACCATCTAATTAGTATTAATTGCATCCTCGAATTCTTTTTGAAATGTTTACACTTATTATTATTATTTTTTTGAACATTAGAGGATTGAATACTTGGTATCATAGAGTTTGTAATCTTTTAACTTTAATTTTTAACCACGATTTTTAAATTAATAAATACCAACTCGATCAAACTTTTATTATTATGTCTACACTTACACTACTAGAAAATTTTTATTATTATGTCTAATAATTATTAGAATTGTGTGCATAACTCCTTCAAATAATTATTAATAGAAAAGAAAAGAAGAAGAAAAAAACCTTGTTGAAATATGTTCATAGTTGTATTGGAAAAGAAGATGGAGAGTTAAACTATATGCATGTTTTGGCAAGAGAGAGAGAAAGAGAGAGGGAGAGGGAGAGGGAGAGGGAGAGGGAGAGGGGATCATCTTGCATACACAAGTCTTATATAAAAATCAAAGTCTTTTATAGTTCATTTTTCATTATTAATGACAAAGATTAACATCATTTTTTAGGTAAAAAGACAATTAACTTTAAAGAAAAAAAAAGGATAAAAAGTGAATAAATTTTAATTTTTC